TATTCCCTCCCGTCTTCCCCCCCCCCCCCGAATTCCCCCTCATCACGTCGCCCGCTCTTGTTCTCGCTTGTCATCTCCCTCTCATCCTCCCTCGCGCATATTTTCTGTCAATGTACTCACCTAACGGGCTTGAAGTACGTGCAGAGGTAGTCGAAGCGGTCGTCCGGAACGGGTACCCTACGTGCTTCAGGAGAAACAGAAGTTGTGTTAGTCAATTTGGCAATAACTCTCGGCTCTTTTTGTTCCTCAACTAATGTCTATTCATGGCGTTGCAAGTAGTCGTCATATGGCACATAACATACATACGCGACATTACATCTCTATAACCAGTAATATGTAAAATACCGGCCTCACTTTACACATTAATGTTTCTTATTTATGTAATTAAAAAGATTTCTTATTTCGGTAATGATTGATTATTACGAGCAGTATAAAGAATAATAATTCTTTATTAATTAGAATAACTCGTAAGTATGTATTGGTGGCAATTTAAAGTTCGTCTCTCCTCTTGTAATATAGCAATGAGCATTTGTACAATGTCTTTATATGCTTATATTATTTTCCTAATTCTTTAATGATTTTCCATTACAATAAGTATCATCTGCATACCTTCTAATACTCAAGATGAATCTCAAGGATTTAAGTAAACGTTCATGTGCATTACGTACTTTACTAGTATATTTACTAGTTGTAATAAAGTTAATCGCATACATTTTAGTCGTATAATGTATTATTTGACTCATTTTCAATCAATTCAATGAAAAAACGAAAAAAGTAGAATTATATCACATAGTGTGTAGTAACAATGAAACTTTAATATAACATTAAACGTTAATTTAACGTGGCGAATCTATTATTTTAAACGTGTGTTGATAATTAAATATTTGAAACTTTGAATAAATTCCGTTGTATGTCGAATTAATTATGCATATGCATAACATCAGATTCATAATCGTTCGGTTATTCTTTCTTGCCTTTACATAAAGAAAAAAAAACAAACAAAAAAAAAACATCGTCGACGAGGCTTAAATTTATTACTTTCCCTTTATCTATTTATCATATGACATTATATGTCTAGCATAATCATTATTTATAATTTTACATTTTTAACAGCCGCCCATCATTCTGACCCTTTTATTTCGTGAATTTAATAGAAACGTCATTATGAATAAAAACTGGTTGAATTTGTAATAGAGAATACGTAATACTTTGTGACGACTATAATATAAAAATTTAATAGAAACGAGCTTAAAGTTTAATACTTATTTGTTCATCCAACAATATAGATATTTTTCATTGCTATCAATTTGAACTCCAACATTCTTATTAACTCATCCAAAAATGCTTCCAGCTTTTGAAAATATATAATTATATAATATAATAGATTTTTCTAAATAATTTGAAAACAAAAAGTCCGATTCAAACATTATTTTTTGTCTTACGATAATCGATATTTACAAAACTATTTTGCTTTCATCGATACAATCGATTCAACATTATCATCGACTATCTATTTTATTTGTAATTTAATATTACAATAAGTTTATTCATAGATCATAAGTGACATTAGACACAGGAATCCAACGAAAACGTAAAAACCTTTCACTCAAAATATATTTAATTAAATTTTTCACAGCTACAGCAACCACTCATTTGTCCTTACATATACATTTACTTTTGAATTTAGAAATTTCGAGTTGTAAATTTCAATCTCTTTAATGTATTCGCTTAATCTTGCAATTATATCACGTACATTGATAATACTCCTATCGTATAAGTCTTTATCTAAATCAAAGCTTAATTTCGTTTTCCCCGAGTATCAAGGACCAATTACGGCAATTCTTCAGTAGGGTCCTGAATTCTCAGGGAGTAAATACGGCCTTGGATTTTCAATGAAAGATTCCTTTACTTCGTTCGACATGAAGAAGAATACCCAATTCATGAATCGTACGAACAACTTTTTCCTTCCATCGACTCCCCCCCCCCTCTCTCTTTCTCTCCTCAAGTTTCACTGGACAAAGGAATTTCTAACGCGATAATTTCAATTGAAACTTGTCAGACGCTAGTACGCCTCGCTTTATTTTACCAAATACAGGTTTTAAATTCAAATTATCATTAAGGGGATTTTCAAAAGTCATTTTAATTCTACGCCCTCGTGTCGGTTTCATTTTCCGCTTCAACTTCTTCATTAAATAAAAGAAAATTAAATAAAACAAATTTTCAAAAGCAGCTTTTATTCCTAAAATTTGAAATATATTTTTTATGTGACCTTTAACGAGATGCTGTGCAATAAAAATTAACTCGTAATTACTTATTGGAGACTTTATAATTGTTGACATTGTTTCGACTATTTTATGGTGTACTTTGTTTAATTCGTAATAGACGCTTAAAGCCGTTAAGAAAAATGTCTTTCATTTAAGATTCGTTAAAATTTATATTCAAAATATTACTAAAGTCAGCCGAAGATACAAAGTATCTTTAATAAATAAATGGGAAGAGAATAATTTTTATCACCACTCGGCATGGAAATATTATAATCTTGCAGTGTAAATTAAAATTATCTATCGGCTTATAATGAATAATCATCATTTTCTTGATTATTTATGATTTATAACATTTGCCTAGAGTTATTAATATGATTAAAACAAATGTAATTCCTTGCATAGTGAACTTAGATAATGAATATAAGGATATAAATATTTTTGGTACATTTAATTTACTGTCTTAATGTGATTAAATTGTTGTTTAACATTTTTCAATCTTTCACATCTCTAAGGCTATACATGCATTTTTGATTTTTATTTCATTAAAACTAAATTAGAAAACAATAATGAAATAGTTTGCTCATAAAATAATTCTAAACAGTTTTAACGCGATCGATTTTTCACCTAAGACACATACACAATTCCTAATTACAATCCGTTTTATTAACTTACGTTGCCATTAAAATAAACATTACATTTATTTTTCTCCGATAATTGCAATGTAAATTGATGCAATATGTTGCTTTACATTGCTATTATGTATTGGAAATTCTTTCATTGAAATTATTCTTTTGAAAAATATAACTCACATGCCATTCGAATGCAATGGAGTAACACTTATCAGAAAAAATTCGATAAGGTTTAAAAATCTTATGAAAGAATTCATATCTGCGTCACAAGAGTAATACATATTCCCTGGAGCCTAAGTACATATTTATGCTAAGTGGAATCGACACGTTTAGCGTAATAACCTTTTATCAAAGATAATACGTTCATCTTTCTAACAACTAAAGGAAGAAACTTCAATATGCCAAACTTAAACATTTTTAGTCTATATTTCGCAATCACTATTGATATTCACATCTTCTGCTCGTTAAAATCTAATGAAATATCAACTCTTTAGAATTATATGTCCAACTTGTATTTACATATAAATACAAATTCAATGGTAAAAATTAAAAATACTATAACTCTACTTATATTATAAGAGTATATTATTACTAAGTATTATTCTAAGTATTATCATACACTAATGGCACTAATATTTGATAACTTCATAAATAAAAAACTGTGATAATGTTTTATAAAGGTATAAATGATAAGTTTACGTACTCATGCAATGGAATAATGAAAAAAGGAAAATAAATAAAAAAAAAATATATATATATATATATATATATTACAATAACTTAATTACGATAAAATAATTAAGATACTTATTTTCATTTGGATCTATGGTGCAGAAAGGAAAGTTTTCTGCAGCCGCTTGACTCTTCGTTAGAACATTGAAAAAGGTTGATTTTCCAACATTAGGGATCCCAACAATGCCGACTTTGAGATTCGTGCCTACGCGTCCGATAAGCGGTTTCTTTTCTGGTTCTTCCACTTTTTTTGGCGCCATTCTAAATGTTAAAGAAAATTAAAAGAAATGTTAAAACAACAACAATCGCTATATTAATTTGACATCAATTTGGCATATTATAAGGTTCGAAGGAGTCTGTCGACGAAAAGTTTGTTTGCAAATAGATTAATTTAATATATGATTTGGGTATGATGCATTTTTTATCCCTCCCCACATTACAACGAAATTCTCTCGACAACTTTTATTATTTTACAATCTATATTAGAAAGTTTCAATTCTTCAAACGATTGTCCTATTTTCGTACTTTAATTACCATTCTGTTGCTATTGCGGATGAGCCGCAAACTAATCTTAAAACTTTGCCCAAACTGCATTATTTTCAACTCAATTTAAATTCAATTTAAAAGTTTCGAATTTATCATTGCGCACACCTAATAAATAAACTGTCTATCCTTATTTGTCATATGGACAATGAGCGCACAGAATTATTGCAACGTCTTAACAACTTATACTTAACAACGTTTTGATAATACGAAAACCAAAAGTTGCCTAATACTCAATGGATTCGATGATTTTCTTTCTCACCAATGTTTTTACATTTTCATATTATCTCTCATCTATTTATAGTAATTTACGCTCGAATGTGTGCATTGTAATAAATTTTTATGGGACTTAAGATAACAAGGCTTAAGATTGAAAGGAATGTTAAGGACTTTTAACAAGGCAATTACATAAAAGAATTTGCTCACTTAAAAATGTGATTATTTTGAAATTAAGCGAGAGTTGAAACTTATAATTAGAGAAATAAACTATATTTCAAAGGAAGATATTTCTAACCTAAGCACCCTCACATCGTTCAATTTTTGCACGTATTATCTTGAGTTCAAAAGTGACTTGTGCACAATTACGTGACGCAAACATAAAACACACGCGCACAAACAAACAGACAAACGGAGGCAAAGGCAAAAACAAAAACAAAAAAACATAAAAAAAAATTAAGACGAAAAAGCGAGTAAAATCTCAGGATTATATTGCAATTCAATTTACTTATACTTTTATTTTCTCATTCATTCGTTATAAAACTGTTCATCGAAGATATTTCAGCGAGGCCGAATAAAAATTATTCGCAGCATAATTTTAAGTGCAGCGTTCGCTCGCCCGTGACCATAATGCCTTATCATGATGACGGTGTATTTGCCGGTTATCAAGCGAGCGCGAGGCGCCAAAACTCCCGATAAACAAAAAAGAAATTCGAACGTTGCGCAGTCGTGGATCGGTCCAGCAGATTCGTATCGGATTTCAGCGAGGGTAACGCGTCACCGGGATCGCGCGTCCTCTCTCTCTCTCTCTCTCTCTCTCTCTCTCTCTCTCACTCTCTATCTCTATCTCTCTCCCTCTCTATCTCTATCTCTATCTCTATCTCCATCTCCATCTCCTTTTATCATTACGATCGTTTGAAGGGAGCGTCGTTTCCACACCGTCGATCCATGCATTCGTTTCGGGCTCGCTCCTATCATCGCGATTTTAACTCACGAGCGTTCGGTAGCGCCAGCACTTTTCAGCGAATACACGTAGGAAGGGCAAGGAAAGCGATTCGCCACGAGCTATTACGCCGCGAGATCAGCTTTGCGATCATACGTAAAGACGACTGGCTGTTGGCTTTGGGTACGCCAGTTTTTACAGTGGCTGCGTCACTTACGTCTCGCGTACTCTCGGATCTTTTTTACAAAATAAGCGGTACATGATCTCGGACGTTTGCCCATCCGGTTGAATGCTATTAGGCGAATAATTGTTCACTCCAAGTTAATCCTCGAATACTTACTATAGACATATTCAGGGAGTCGACATCTGCGATATCCGCAAACTCGAGGTAAGCGCACATATTCCAACAACCAATGTCCAAATGATATTGCGCGCGAGTTGAAAATATAAAAGTACGCGTCAATTAACGGACCAATTGCCGCCAACCCTCGCTCGCTCTTAGTTTTACTTAAGTTGAGCAGTGCGGACGTAGCCGGTTGGCGCAATATTATCATTGGGATATAACTTCAACCCCAATTCCATCCATTGCGACTACGGATGAACACTGGACGTCGAGGCGAACCGATTATCAAATGTCGACTAAAGCGAAGGTTGCGAGCGCCCCAGCTGACTGAGGGCTAAAAAGGAAAGAGCGGGAAAGCTACTTATTTAAAAATATCCTTCATCAGCGGAAGCGCAAAAGCATACGATCAAATGAGCGCGATTACGCCCAGTCGATTATTAATGTCCAGCCAGATCTTTTTGCCTCTAAACTCTATACAATTGACACGTGATTTGCTCATTCAACGGTGCTCCTTGCGTCCCCTCGATACCCCCCCCCCTCTCTCTTGCTCGCTCTCTCTCTCTCTCTCTCTTTCTCACTCTCTCACTCTCCCACCCCCATCCACCGACCTACCTAGACCCAACATTTCTTTTTGCGCTCCCCGCGATCGCACCGGTAAAGAACGTCGTCGTCGTCGTCGTCCTCCTCCTCTACGGCACCCTCGTCGCCTCTCGCTCGCGGTGACTAATTATACTAATGCGCTCGCACCAACGCACATCCTCGTCTCTCGATCCGAATTGCAGTGTTTACCGCAAGATTGCTGGCAGATCGTTGCGGAGCCTCGGGGGACGGGAGGCCGAGGAATCGCCCCGTCGCTGCACTGCCTCCGGACCTCGGGCGGACTCTTCAAAGCCGGTGCTGCGACCGCCGAGACCGAGGCCGATGTCGCGATGCGCCGGGGGCGCCGCCGGTGCCCGAGATAGCCACGGATTCCAAGGCCGAATCTCGCGATCGCTCGCCTCTTACCTCCTCGACATTTATTGAACAGCTCGGCTCTTCTCCTTCTACCCCCTCACCACACCACCACCGCCCCTTCCCATCCTCCCTCCCTCTCGCGACAGTCCCATTCATTTACCAATCCATAACGAAACGGTCCTAGTTTCCTTACTTAGGTGATGAGGAGCGAGATCAGACGTTTCTCGCCTATTCTTATTTGTTCCTATTTTAACGAGTAAATTGATTGGCAATGCAATTAGCCTTTGAGATCTCGAGGTACTTCGAGTCGCGGACTTGGTGTACGAATTATAGTGCTCTTCTCGACAATGAGTCACTGCAGGTACGTAAGTACTGAAAGAAAACTTAAATAAAGCCGATGAGCTTGGCTTTAAGGGCCTTGGAGAGTTGAGAATTTGTTAAAAAAAAAAAAAAAAAAAAAAAAAAAAAATGCAGTAAAAAGAAAAAGGAAGCAAGGACTCTTCGTAAAAAGAGTATTATTTACGCAGATGAGGAAATATAGTCGATTAAGTTGAGGAGTGAAGAAAAAATTAAAATCAACGTTATTATGTTATTGGGGATAATGTAATTGACCTTTCAAGCGAACCAGTACGTCGCATCTAACGAACCAAAATATCAATAACAAATTAATATCGTGTAATGATGGAATTGAGCAAAATAATAATATCGTAAAGAGCATGGCAGAGAGCTTACAAATAAGCGAATAATATAATCGAAACAGCATGGAAAAATATAATAACAATATTTAATGTGGCATAAATAAATACGAATGACACAATTATAATTTCATTCCTTTTAATTTCAGTTTTTTTTTTTTTTTAATTTTACCTCACTATCTATAAATAAGCATGGAAGAGCAACATTTTAAGACTATCTTCTTAGTTTCTCCATAAATTGTACTTTGTTAGGTAAGGTTGAAGCGCTTATGTAAAAAGTGTTAAAGATTTATTCTCTCTTATAAGTTGGTGACGTATAAGTAAGGGATTAAAATAGTGAATAATTTCACATTAAATAGAGTAAATTATGATTTATATTATTTATATGTATATCAGTGAGTAATCTAATGTATGTAAAGTGCAAGTATTAAGTGGCGTCATAATTGTTATCAAGCCCAAATTGAAGGACCTCTCGATGTCACCACCCATCAAAGTTAAAAGAGATGGGGGCACGTCCAGGGGGAGGACTGAGACAAAGTGAAGGAGAAGACGGGAAAAAATGGAGAAGGAGAATAAGGCGGTTTGGAAGCCGATTACTGGGCACCAAGACCGCGAATCACCGACATCGCGCCGGGAATCCGTAACCGCGCCCGAGGCCGCCAATCCGCCACCGCATCTTTCTCTCTCTCTCTCTCTCTCTCTCTCTCTCTCTCGCGCTTACTCACTTTGCTCTTTATTGCGTCCACCATTTCTCGGCTATATAAAAACACAATCTCGGTTGTGTCGTCTTTATCGTCTCGCCGGAGTATGCGGTGGTGGTGTTCTCCTCACTCCCTCTGGGTTCGGGGGGGGGGGGGGGGCAACGGGGGGGGGGGGGGCACAAAAGTGAGGGCATTTCAACGGCGCCTTTATGATCGCTCATAAGCGGCTCAGTATATATTGTTAGATCGGCGCTTGCCCGAAGAATTCGTAAATTACAGTAACGAGAGGAGCGTCATCACGACATTCAAATTGCCGCGCGCCCGGCGCCGGCGCCGTCCTCTCCTCTCCATCCATCGCATCTTCTCCTTCTCGCCCCTCCAGCTTCCCCCATCGAGCCCACCCCAACGCGCGGGCTTCGCTATAATATAATATGCTTCTATATTAAATAGAGAAAATTACAGATTTATCTTACTAGGCTATATAGCTTAAAAACAATTTCCTATCTTTCTATAATCCTACAAAGCTATGTTAATGCCGTGGATGAGCTTAAGTACGACGCTTCAACGTCACCGTAATATCTATAATTACACATGATGCTCGCCTATCTTTCCAAAAGCAACTTAAGCTTAAATCAGTGAAACATTTTCTCGAATATAGAAAAAAGAAAAAGCAAAGGAAAAAGCAAATGAAAATGAATATGAAAAATAAAAAAATAAAAATAACCCTCCAACACGATCTTTTCACGCAATCACGTTCGCGATTGTCGGCAAAAATTACTTGAAATACTTGTTAGCGCTCCAAAAGCCTGTCCCCTTTCCATTACTATTTACCATTCGGGCAAATGCAAAACGCCCACTCGAGTCGTCGCGCGCTTAACTCTCTTCCTTATCAAGTATTACTTGAAATGTCGAAGGGAGCCGGGGAGAAAGGACAAACGGCAAAAGACCAGCGGCCTCAAGCACGCATTAACCTAACACTCGAAAGTTCTAGCGCTCAAAGTCTCTTAAAGTTCGCCGCCAATAATAATGGCAAAACCAGCGATAAGACGGACATTCGATCGTCATTGCGTGGTGTGTGACATTGTCTGGTCGCAGCGAGGATTATGAGGACGACGAGGATAATGACGAGGAGCGTGACTTGATGGATGACGCGAAAGGATGACGGGTAAGGATGACGCGAAAGGACGACGAAGAGGATGACGACGAGGACGATGAGAAAAGCAAAAGGAGTCGCCGCACGCCTTAACCGAGAGAATCAAAGGAGAACCGACAACGGCGCTGGCGCATTTCACCATTACAGTCCGCAAGAGCGGCGTGGAAGAGCAACCAGAATGAAACCTAACCTGTCTTGGGCTCACGAGCGCTCCTCATCAATCGTCGCCTAACCTCACATTTTCCGTCGAGACAACGGTGCTTCTTCTAGCCGGCCCTGTCTCTGGAAGAGCTCGGGCCCAGATCCGATGAGTCGCACGTGACGGACATTCAATGTGCATGTGCGTGCGGGCGTTCGCGACCAAGAGATCGAAGGGGTGAGAGAGAGAGAGAGAGAGAGAGAGAGAAAGAAAGAAAGAAAGAAAGAAAGTAGGCCGAGGACCGTGGCGACGAGCGACGACGAGAGCCGGGGAGATTGGGGAAGAAAGAAGTGGAAGAACGTACCTGCTGACGGCTCGCTCGCTCCCCAACGAACGGGCTTCCTCCTTTTATCGCTCGGGCCTCCACACGTAAGGGTAACGAGAAGCCTCGGCACACTCGCGGGCTAGATAATAACGACGTGTCGTCTCGTGGGCGCGCACGACGAGTTCGCAGCGGTGGCGCACGTATCCCGACGAATGCTGTGACGTCACGTAACCGTGGCTTGAGCGACGGGCCGAGGAACGGGGGAACGTCGTTGGTCAGCCAGCAACGTTTTTGGCTCCCCGAGTTCACCGCGCGTCGTCGGTGCTCGCGCTCTGCTTTATCGATCGAGCAGCTGCCCGCCAAACATCGCACCGGCAATTCGAACGCGGCGCTCTTTTATCCCTCGGCTGTGCTGGTGCTGGTGCTGGTGCTGGTGCTGGTGCTGGTGCTGGTGCTGGTGCTGCTGGTTGCGATAAAAGTACGCTTTAACGAGTATCCTGTGGTATCCTATGGTCCGTGCTTCTTCCGCGGCTGACTCTTGCTTCTTTCTGACTCACCCGAACTATGATTCGCATTAAATAGTTTCAGATTATCGCCTACATTACTTTTTCACTATTGCGACAATAGGGTTTTTTAATGTATAATGATCTACGACTTTGATTGAGCAGCGCTGGATTTACGGTTGGAATTATCGCATAGAAAGTAGAAAGTTTCCATGGAATGACATATATATATATATATATATATATATATATATATACATATAACCTGTAACTAAATGCAATGACTTTATTACTTCATTTTTTCTATTTATCGCAAATAGAGACTATTTGCATTGTAGGATATATGCTGCGGCCAGGCAACGTTTTGCACGTTAATTTTTGGAAAAATAATAATAGACGGATTATTCGTAGGTAACGCAGACGACCGTCTAGCATGCGTTTATTAATCCAATTGAACATTGAACAAAGCTCATTATCGCACGTGCTGATGAACTATTCACACGACACTGATTCACCATAAATTGAAAGATTTATCATTTTGTAAGGTTCGAAAATTTTGTATAATAAAAGGAATTCGCATTTATTTATTGATAGAAAATCGCTAAATAGGATAAATCCAGCGATTGAATAATATGCTCGTACAAACGAAAGAAAGACAATGAAAAGAAATTGAAAATATGCCATGTGGAATATTATTGATTTGCGTCTAAATAAATATTAGCCGGCAAAATAAATGAATTTGCAAAATATATAGTTATTATGCGCATTAAAGTACGCTTTGTATGCTAAAGAGTATATTTAGACGAATATATTATTACCGAATGTACAATTGAGGTTCAAGGTAACCACCGTCCGAGCATGAACATACGGCAAATTACGAAAATCCTTGCGGTCGCCTAATTGATTTATAATATTATTGACTCCCGAGCAAAAAGTACTTTCATTACATACTCTTAAATTCGGAATAAAGAAAATCTACCTAGTAATTCATTCATTCGAGCGCATTTAATATCTGTACCCAAAGCTACACGCAACAACAAAATATCTGCAATTACCTCAAATGAGCGTAAAATCGCATTAATATTGCAGATTTTCAATTCTAATGATCGAGTAAGAGGGGAACGCTTTCGAAAAACTCGAGTACTAAGTGTTATCCGCGAAACGATCCCCTAGCACTTTACAAGTACCTCCCAACAACTCTCCGCGCAAGCTCAGGCAATACCTCAAGGACGATGAGGAGGAGGAGGACGATGAGGAGGATGAGGAGGAGGATGAGGATGAGGAGGAGAAGCAGAAGTAACAGCAATAGCAACGGCAGCAGCGGCAGCTCGCGGAACGAGGCGACCGACTCATCTTCCTCCAAAATTCCTCGGCGTTGCGCGAGCGCGTCGCCGCTCGGGGCTCAGGTGAAAAAAAAAAAAATTGAAAATACCAGCACGACCAATCGGCCTTATAATGAGCCTATAATACTGCAAATAATAGAGCAGAGAAGTAGTAAGGAAGGCTCGGGGACTGGGATGCCATTAATTACACGAAATTCCCCATTGGCACTTAATACTCGCGCGCTGACCGAACGTTTCGCGGGCGCTTCGCCGGAAACGCGGCAAGGAATCAAAGCCGCCGGCACGGGAGGAATCTTGCAGCATGTGGAATGGATCGATCGATCGGGAAAGAGAGTCGTGGCGCCAGGCGCTCGGCAGCGCCTCCTTTTATTCCATTACCACTGGGCAATATCGGCTTTAACCACCTGCGCATTAGGGAGGAAACCGACCATTTTGTGCACTTGACGGTTAGTCTCGCTTCCACGAGCTCGCGAACCTAATGTTTGATTGTACTCGATTCGGCCAATTGCGATATATCAATTGACGGACTATTGTCTATTATTCGTGTATTATTTGGCTGTTATTTATGAGAGCCGCTGGTCTATCATTCATCATCTCACTCTCGCTCCAGTAAAATTCTTTCTACGAGCGCAATTTCGTCCTTGAATAATGGAACAATGAAAATTATATTATTACAATGTTTTCTCCAATCTCGTTAAATATTTCTAGGCGTGCAATTAGCATATCAATTTCAATGTAAGGATATACCGCGCCAAGCTTAAGCTACGACCTAAGAAATTTAACCGATTTTCTTCATTTCGAGCAACATTACACATTCGTAATACCAATATTAAAACATTTTTATTGAAGTGAATCAAGAAAATCAGCCATTCTAACGTATGTAAATCGAATTAAAATTTATATTCCTGCTCGCAGTCGTATGCGATCGTTTTAATATTTAATACGGGAGAGTATGAAGTAAAGCAGGAAAACGAAAACAAAATGTTATTTATATAATAATTATTATTACCTTAAATATAAATGGGTAAACAATATGTATTATAAATTATTAATTTTAAAGTAACTCTATTCTGAAAAAATTAAGCTAATGTTGATTTATTTCATAAGTAATCATAATGGTACATTAATTAATCCATTCAACATATCATTTGCCGCCTTCAAATATACCTTCATTTATATTTTATTCAAATGGTGTCCGAATAAAAGAATTGATATTAATAACAATAATTACATTATTCACATATTCATATTATTTCAAGTTTATTTTAACATAAGTTGTGCGCTTATGAATTAATATAATAATTTAAAGTAAATTATTTGACAGTTGTTTTAATATTATGGTTGAAAAAGAAATTTGAAATATCCCGGTGAGACTGATGTAATTTCATAAACAAAAATTTAATACTCAATAATGTAATTAATTAATAATTAATCATTAAAGTCCTTTTAATTAGTATTAAAAATTCGATAAAATCGTTCGTTAAAAAAAAATTGTTTCCTCGGTATCCTGTTGACATGTGTCACTATAACAAGTTAAATCTCTTGTAATTCATACAAATAATCATACAATTGGAATTATTTATCAATTACATAGCAATGAACTATTATCGCAGGAATAGTGGAATTAAATTCACAAATATTGCTAGGCATCAATTTACTCGATTTAAATTTTCGATTATAAATCATGAAAGACCAAATAAGATTATACATCGCTTATAATTACAAAGACAATACTAATAAGCAAATATATATCCAAGTAGACTTATAACTATCCACTTATTATGTAAAAAGTGTGATGAAAATACAGCACCCGGTACTCTGGAAATGCGGTAATGAATTTATTGTAATGAAACTTTGGAGAAAGCTTAAAAAGAAATGGCATAGGTTATATATTTTATTATTTATATATATTTAAGTAAAAACATAAAAGTATAAAAAAATAATGTACGACTGTGGTTAGTTAACGGCACATGTTAATGACATGCAAGTAGTTGTTGTCTACGCCAGTGTATGATTATTTCAATTATTTCATTACTCGCTACCAGTCATGACCAATATAATGCATATAATCAAGAGTCTATTATTCTCTATGTAGTCTCAGGTGAAATAAAAAAAAAAAAAAGTAAGAGATGGAAAAGATACATAGGACAGTCCAAGTTTTATACCAATGTATATTCTCACATTTAACCGATGTTGGTGTCTTTCCAAGTTCTTTTTAATTGACATCGATCCCCAGTTAAATGAATAGCAATGTGAAATGTAAAAATATTACAGTTATTAACAGTATCGTTAGTGAACACTTAGAACTTCTGTGAATTATCAAATCCAATGAATAATTCATCGAAGCTGGAAACTTTAAAATGCGTCTTTCCATAAATACGGTATGATATAACATTCGAAAATACTGGTATGAAAAAAAAAAAAAAAAACATATATAGATAGAAAAACCACACACATATTTGTTAAAAGAATATTACATTCGTATGTGTACAAGTTATACGAGTTATCTCATTAAAATTTTATATGTTTCTTAATGGAATGGATTGAGGGTAATTAGAAAATTTCTATTATCGATATTGTCATGCTTTGTATAATGACGAATGGCAATTTCACATTCTCTCCATTGTAAGATAACCAGCTGTTTTTCGCAATATCCGTTTATAGAAAAATAATGTCCGAATGAAACCGTAGCTGCTGTACAAAAAAAAAAAAAAAAAAAAAAAAAAAAAATAAAAAAATTAATAAATTAATGTATTATATTAAATTGTTATTTTTAACAGTGATAATCAAGATCTTTATATATGTAATAATTTATTTTTAACAAAATTTTACTTTACGTATTAAAGATTTGTATTGGAATGATCTTATACAACAAACAGTAATATACGGAAAGTAAATGAATTATATATTTTCGGTTTAAAAATCGAATTCAATTCGATTAAATCTATGAAAAATGCGAATAATTATGAATATAGGATGTATAGGAAATTACAACAGTCGATGATATTCGAATAAAATCATCGATGCCAAAGCGTACAATGTCATTCTTATTGATTGTCATTATTCGTGAAATTCATTGGACAAAAAAAAAAAAAAATCTTGTTCAAACAGCACAATACTGAAGGTCGAAAAATAATACGCAACGAACGGAGTATCAATAACACACCTACATCATTCAAAAAGTTGGTTATCGTAAAAAAATGGTGCGACACAACGCAACAACTCGAGACTCGGTTGTAAATGAGACTTCATTGGCTATGACAACTTGCTCGTTGTGTAAGTAATAGTAATCATCGGTCGGTCCTATATTCAATAGTTCTGTATGTATAAGGATGTACGCGCCCGCATATTGCGTACATTTATCTGTAAATGCAGAGG